CTCGTACGCACAACTTAAAAACAAAACTGTGCGTACGAACATGTTCTTGCATGAGGCCCATTGAATTTTGGTTTTTCATTTTTTTTCCTGTAAGAGGTTTTTATTTAATAGAATATTTGGACAAAAAAAATCGCAATATATCGCCTTGCTTACATTATCGCAATATATCAGGATATATTGTATCGTGACCCCTCTGTCATGATATGTATCGTATCGCCAAATTGTTGCCAATACACAAGCCTACTAAACATTAGCCGGTGTGTGTGCTACAACCAACAGCTTGGATTCTCTTTGCATGTCTACCTTCATGAGTGCAGTTGTTGTTGGAAGCCTGAGACAACTGCCTGATCTCCTCCAGCAGGGAGGGGTTGGTCCTGGAGGAGCAGTGGCTGCTCTCCTCTTCATCCTCTTCTTCAGTTTCACCAGGATCTGGTGAATTCTCCATCATCTCGACTATCTCCTCAATGACCTTAAAAAATGAGACAGAGTGATTAAAGCGGATGGATGGGGGGAAAAACATTTGTGAGGAAGGTAAGCAGACACATCTCCAGAGTTTATGTCTAAGAATCAGTTCGCACTAAAACACTAAGAGCCTCTTGTGCAGCAGATCCCATCGTTAGCATCTATTATTGATGTCAGCACAGAATCCAGCAGCAGACATCTCTCTGAGCTGCTGGACCCACTCAACACTCCATACAGCCATGTTGGGAGTTTTATTTGACATTAAATTCAAATCCCTGCAAAGCAAAATGGAGTTCACACAAAATCAGTGTTCTGAGTGTAAAGGTAAATACAGGTGAGTGGATAAAGAATTTAAAATGCTCCTCTATAAAATCACCAATCTATCATGGTCCTGGATGATCTTATAGGACAGGGGGGTTCAAACTCATTTTCACCAATTTAAAACATTTTACGTTTAACTTTGACTAAACAGGAAATTTCATGTTCCTCGTCTCATTGCTACTCCAGAGTGCCGCTAATGAACAATAACTGGGCTCTACCTGGTATTTCCTGCATWGAAACAGCTTTTTAACACACCCTCTTATAAAACAGTACTACGTGTACCACTGACTAAATGACTAAATGTGAAAAAAATAATACAAAAATACTATTAAAATTAAGTAAGAGAGTTTTAATCACTGTTAGGTTGTGGTGAGTTGCTACATTGTTAAATTCTGAACTCTCCCACTTTCCAACAGGGAATTCCCTCTGGAGGGGTGTTCCAGTTTAAATTTACAACTTGTAAATGGGAAATTCCCACATTACTGTACAACTGAGCTGCAGCAAAAGTAGACAGCAAAAAAGCAACTAAGGCCAGCATCACACGGAAAGATAATCAGGCCGATTTTTGCCCTTCCGACAATCTTAAGGAAGTCCAGATTATCGTGATGACTCTAAAGATAATCTGAGCAGATATTCCTGCCATGGATAGTAAGTTGAGTGATCTAGTCGGCTCGAAAGGACGTCGGGACCACTCCGACCTCAAATCGGGGATATTCAACGTTTGATTTTTTGGCCCGATATCACAG